CGAAGGCATGGTGCTGAGGGCGTGTCCAGCGCGTTCGTTTACTATTCACTTTGCATATCAAGTACAAAATTTTGACATGTGGGCCACACGTTTCTGAACCGAATGAAATCGTGCGCAAATTATGTAAACTGCAGAAACGTCCAAATCCTGGCTGGTGAAAAATAGAACGCTTACATTCGCCAGGCTTTCTTGACACTTGCGAAGCACGGGGAAAAAAGTGGAAGAGGAATTGGAGTTGCATGCACGACTCGACGCGACTCTTTCCTGGGGCGAAATTCGGTTACCCTGCTGTTTTCGCGTGTCAGTCTGTTATGTGCGCGCTGCGCACCCGCTCATTTGTCGAGCCATGGGCAGGGCTCGTGTCCGCTTGTGCCCCAGCGTTTTGCTATTGATACTGTAGGTGTACCTCAACACATTCACACTTGGCGAATCAATATTTCGGCGTGTTAAAAAAACGTCAAAAATTCGTGTTGGGGCAAAATGAACGCGCTGAACACGCCCTGAGGGGCTATGAAAGCCGTTCACGTGAGGGTGTGAAGCTGAACCTTAGTGTATACGTGGCAGATCCGAACAGTCACGTTGGTTTCCGCAACATGCTCGCCACGTCCCAGCCACCATACCAAACGCTTTGCCCAGCTAAAAATGTGTGGCGCGATTTGATTGGCCTAAATTGAGAACGAATCAGATGAGGGGGTACTTTTTGCCACAACCAATAACAGTGTAGAACACCAGGCAAAATTGACTCGCATGTGATTGGTGGAGAAATATAGTAGCGGTACAGCGAAACATGTCAAGTCATTTCGACATTTTGCGATTCGCGAACACTTGCCATTTCGCCAACGCCCTTCGCGAACAAAAAGATTTCCACAACTGAATTTCTTGCGATGTACGAGCAACGATTTTTAGATACAGAAAAGTCAGCAGTGTACCAGACTCAACTTTACATAGCAAAACTCTCTGACGAGGACACAACTTTCAACCAATAGCACAGCGACAAGCCAACTTCATGCCAATCCCCAACCACCCGAACAAACCCTTATCCTCAAGCCACGCAAGATAACTACAGGAAGTTCTACCTCGACTAGATTCATTTCCACCTGAGGTATCTCGTCACAACCAGCTGTCCCTCTTGCAGATCTCCTATCTCCTCCTAGATCTGTCTTCATCGAGTGCCGTGCTGTGTGATGTGCGTGTTGTCGCCGTGTTTGTAGGGGCGTAAAGCATCACGGATTAGTTGCGGAGCATCAGCGTACTAACAACCTCCTTTTTTTTTCTTGTGCGCTTGCTGCAGATTCGTTACGTCGGAAGTGATTCAGTACTGTCGACGATAGTGAACCGCCGGCAGAATGGACCTGTCATGACAACATGGATGCTGGTTCCTCTATCAATGCGTCATGCGAAAATTTGTGAGCCATTTGTGGACGATGAACCGACGATGAAATTCCATGGCGTTGCCACCAGCCGCTTCTCCTGCTAATCACGTTTCATGGTCTGCCTTGAATTTGCAGGAAAGGCACCTGATATGTCTTCTCGCAAGTGGGTTTCTCGACGGACCGTTGGCAATGCAAATCAGAAGCCTTGCGTAAACTAGCTAACCAATGTTGTTGACCTAGAGTTTCTATGCTTGGGATTTCTAATGTATTTGAAAGCATAACTTTGGAATTGAGTTTATTAAACCTGACCATCAAACCTGTTGAACAGCACGCACCTGTGTTTTTGGTCTGAATATGCATAGCATCTGCATAGCATCAATGAAGATTTAACGGAACTGAACCATGCAAATGCATAGTGTATGCTAAGGCTCTCGGACATTGGTTCCACTTAGGCTGCCTGTGGTTTGCAAATGCGAGGCGCGTAGTATGCGCTTACAAAGGCAAGGTAATATGCTGCCACTTAGCATATGCTACGTATTCATTTAGGCTTCGGGGACTACGTATATTGTTCACTGATGAACACGTTTGCACTATGCGGCTGGCGGCAAAGTATACGCATAGCGGTCTTCCGATTCGTCGATGCGTATGCATAGGTTGAGGGGGGCAGATTTTTGGGACGAAGAGCTTGTCGATTTAAGGCATTTGGAGCTGGCATTGGACTGCGTTGCCACGGAGCTTCCGTTTCCTTTGGCTTTTCTTCCGCAGCTGCGCACCTTGAAGATTTCGAATGCTGTGAAGATTCCCAGGCTTCCAGAGGGTATGGGCTCAGCGCTGCACCAGCAGAGAGCGCTGCTGGTCCACCAAGCAGAGGAACTGTCAGAGTTGCCTGAAAGCATCGTGGAGCTTCAGCAGTTGACATCCTTGCAGAGTAGTCAGCTGAATCTGTCAACCAGTTGGCATCGTGGAGCTTCATGCGGTCAACCTCACTCACCTTCCCAATGGCATCAGTGCCTTGACCAGGTTGCGCCAGCTGAACATGTCTGACTGCAAGGAGCTGAGTCATCTCTCCGCTTCACTCACCCAACTTGCATGCCTCAAGGAGGTCAATCTGCATTCGACCTTAATTTGCGCGCTTCCTCCCAACTTCGCGAGATTGGCCAAACTAATGATGCTCGTTCTGGATGGGTGTTGGCAGCTGAGGACTCTGCCAGAGGTTGTGACTGAGCCCAAGGCACTGCTCTACTTGCGATGTGAGAAGTTGCTAGATTATGAAGGCTACGTAAACCCCCGTGGCATATATACTGGTACTGGAAGGCCAAAGAAAATGTCAGACCATGGAGGGAGGTTGATTTATGAGAAAATATCAAGAAAATCGTAGCATAATAACAAACCAACGTTGTGCATTGAGTTCATACAGAAACTCCAAAATGGCAGGCCGATGGACCATGCTAACTATTGAAGGACCCGACCCCATGTCTCGATACAGAGGTTCCATTTTTATTGTACCGTACTCTTGAACCCTGGGAGGATGCTGATTTTCTGGATTTCAATCGCTCATGACTGGGACCATTCTCTGCCTCTTCTTTGCTGGTTGCTCTTTGTACTCAGCACAATCTGCAGGTTCATCCAATAACTTCATTTCTGGCCGTGGTAGGCAACTTTCATTGCTCCGAAATGAACAATCGCCACACTTCACCTGTTATATGAGACAGCTTGGTTTGATAACGAACAATATAAGCACCATTGGAATTGAAAGGTAGAAAAATTACAGTGGACCCATCAGGTGCACCAGAGCAGTTACTGCAGCCACTAACAACCTGTGGGTTGTCCTGCGCAGTCTCAACAGGTGTCTGAGTAAGCACAGGGGTGTCAACGACATCACATGTCTTTGTTCCTGTGGCACCGCCATAGGCAATTCCATGCAAAGATCAACCCAGGATTATCAAGCAGCCAAAGAAAAGGCAGCCAGACAGAACAACGAAGGTATTTACCTCTGCAAATAACGAGACGATGCTTTCAGGAAGACTTGTCAGTCGTTGGGCAGCTGGGTCCACAGCTGCTGCATCTTTCTTCTGTGGAGATGCCATATTGGCAAATGAACCGCAGCCGCCTGCTGATGAGCTGCAAGAAATATTCTGCATTCCCAGAGACTGCCTAGGGACTATCTCGAGCTCAGCACAAACACTGTTGCCCAAGAGACCACCAGGCTTCAAGTCAATGACAGGTTTCGTCCTCTCGGACGCATCCCCCTAGGAAGTTGCAGTAACTTCGGGCCCAGCATTTTGTTGTGTGATGTCATCATATGCTATCACATTCTGTCTGCCTCCCATCCCATGTTTTCAACTTGCATGTGTGGTTTGAATGTGAAAGAATTTGTGTGTGGTGTGTTCTGGAGTTTGGGAATGTGTTCTGTGTTATTTTTGTTTGAGCAGGTATTTTGATGATAGATCTTGAGAAGATCTTTCCGACGCAACAAGAATCGCTTCAATCGGAGCAAGAACGCGAAAGCTATGAAGATTCAAAGTTCATGAGCTTGCGTTACAATTGCGGCGGTTACAAAGTGAAGTTGTGGGGTGACTTTATATGGAGTTGGGACCTTTGGGGTTGGGTAAACTTGTCACTCTACTGTAACAGCTGCAAATAGGTTGGGAACAACCAAGCTAGGTTGGCAAGGGTGGCCAACTTGGATGGATTGGTTGGGAAGGGACAAAGGTCAAAGTTGAGGTTCCTATAGGGAGGGAATCTTTGTGCTTATGGGGTTTCCTTGGTTGGGGACTCTCTTGGGACCTTTCCTCTCATCCCTCTCTTCTATCCCAACCTTTCTCTTGCTCCTCTAAATTCCTTGTGAGATTCTTGAACTTTGATTGAACTCTTGAGATTGAGTTAAGTTCTCCTCCTACAGCTTACCCCCTAGTGCGTCGAAAGCCATAGCGTCGCGAATACTTCATCAATCAACGTGATTCAAATTGGGAACGGTAGCTGAGATCAAGAGCTACAACATATCCAAGTTTCGCGACATTCCAACGGCTAGTGTTTTGTCGACGTCGTTTCTTGTGAAGACGACTTTTCTGTCCAGAATTTCGGATTTATATTTTGAGTAATTCTAGCTCCTAAGTTCACCTAGACTCTGTCCTTAATCCTAACAAGTGGTATCAGAGCGATATTAAGGACATTGAGAGGAGTCTACAGAAGTGTGAAGACCCTTCTAGACCCACCATGGCCTGTGGGTGTGCCTAAGTGGTGTTCTAAAGGTTGGATGTGTCTTCCGCTAAGGGGAAACTCTGCCGAAATTTCGTGGACGCCGACACTTGTGAAAATATCGAGGGAGCTGAGTGTGGACAGCAAAGGGGAGCTGAAATTCGTCATTTCTCAAGGAGAAGATGAATGAGAGAGGAGGAGATGCTAATGGAAGAGGAGCTGTAGCTGAGAAGACAAGTGAGCCGCCGCCATCAAAAGTTGAAGCTTTGGATGGCTCCAACTATGAGGAATGGAGCGGACGGATGAGGAGTGCCTTCAAACGCTACAAGCTCCTGAAGATTGCTGTTGGGGAAGAGAAGATGCCGGAAGAAGGCGAAGCACGTGAACGGTGGATTGAGAAAAGCGCGGTGCTTTTCGACCTCATTCTTCAATCGGTCAACAAGGAGATGTTCGAGCACATCAAGGATCTTGTGGAAGCGGATGATTCGGGTCCAAGGGCGTGGAAACTACTACGTGATGTGGTTCAGCCCAACACTCTCCTGATGGTGATCGTGCTCGAGAAGGAACTTGCTGCCATCTCCATGCAACCAGGGGACGATGTGAAGCCGGTCCTTGACAAGATCAAGGACACCTATGCAAGGATGGCAGCAGCGGGCAGCAGTGTATCTCAGCTGCAGCAGTGCACCAAGATCATCTCGGTGTTGGACAACTCTTGGGACAACCTCATCCCCACCCTCAACTCTCAACAAGATCAATGGACACCTGAGTGGCTAAGGCAGCAGATTCTGCAGGAGGACTTCCGCAGACGCCATGTGGGAGGCGGTGCTGCCACTAAGACTGCTGAGGGGTATGGAGCTGCAGGGCGCGGCAGAGGAAGAGGGGGTTGGAGAGGCCGAGGCCGTGGGAGGAGCTTTGGCAGAGGTAGAGGCCGAGGTGACTATAATGAGGGCATGGGAGCTCCAGTGGCAGGGGAGTACCAGAATGGAGGGCACCTGCTGGTACTGCAAGAAGGTCGGGCATCCTTGGTTCAAGTGCTTCAGCAGGCCGGAGGGATGGGCACCTCCAGGCATGAAGCCGCCCAGTGGTGAACGCGCACAAGGTGGTGCTGTGCAAGGCTCAGGTGCACAAGGTGAAGGTGCACAAGGTAATGCCTATCCTGGGATGTTTCTTATGGTTGAGGATGTGCATGGGCATGAGGGTGATGTGGGATCTGTGGGAAAGGTTGTGATGCACCCTCTCACGCACTGGGTGATTGATTCAGGTTGCACCAGTCACATGACCCCACGGGCAGATTTGCTTGATGAGGTAAAACCCCCTGGGAAGATCAAGTATGTGGCAGCAGCGTCAGGTGCTTTGCTCCCTGTCATTGGTGTTGGAAATGCCAAGGTTAAGGGAGCTAATGGGGAGCTTGTGGGGCTTGGGAATGTTCTGCTGGTTGAAGGCTTGTCTGCTAACCTTCTCTCTGTGCGACGACTGCAGAAGAGCAAGGCCGAAGTGACCTTTGGACCAACCAGCTGCCATGCTAAGCTTGGGAAGAAGGTGCTGTGGAGTCTGGAAGAGGAGACCAGCTGCATCAAGGACCTGTGGCAGCTGCCCATCATCCCATGGAATGGGAAGACTCCAACAGCAGCAACGGCAGCAACGGCAAAGGCAACAGCAGGAGGAGATGCAACTGCACCAACTGATGGGGTCCTGGAAGCAGTCAAGAAAGTGCAGCAGCAGCAGACACATGGCGAGGTGCTTGCTGGTGTGGATGCGAGTGCGGCATGGGCTAAGGCTTCATCAAGGAGTGGAGAGGCCGATTGGGAGACATGGCATGAGAGGCTGTGTCATGTGAACTTCCCTATGCTGCAGAAGTTGGTGAAGGATGGGAGCCTGAAGGGCTTGGAGGTGAAAGGGGGAGTGAAGGAGATTGGGAGCTGCCCTACATGCTTGGAGACCAAGTTCTCCAAGTTCCCCTTCAACAGCACTACAGGACCAGCCAAGACCCCACTTGCACTTGTGCACATGGATGTGGTGGGGCCCACAAGAGCCCCTTCCCTCTCAGGCAGCCGCTATTTCTTGACAATTGTGGATGACCACACTCGGGCAGTGTGGGTTTACCCTTTGAAGAGCAAGGGGGAGGTGGCAGCGGCTGTCCTTAAGGAGTGGATGCCTAGAGCTCAGAGGGAATGCGGATACAAGGTGAAGGTGATCCGCAGTGACAATGGTGGGGAGTTCATTGGAGCTGATTTTGAGGGGGAGTTGAAGAGGAAGGGGATCCAGCATCAACTGACAGTGCCCTACAACCCGCAGCAGAATGGCGTGGCTGAGAGGTTCAACAGGACCCTGCAGGAGGGGGCACGCACTCTCCTTGGGCGTGCAGGGCTGCCTGATCCGTTTTGGGTGTCTGCACTGAGGCAGGTCGCCCTTGTGAAGAATAGGGTGCTGGCTACAGTTGGAGATAAGGAGTGGATCCCATATGCCAAGTGGTATGGGAGTGCTCCAGCGGTGAACATGCTGAGGGCATTTGGGTGCATGGTGGTGTTTCATGTGCCCAAGGAGAAAAGGGGGAAGTTGGAGGCTTCTGGAAGATGGGGTGTGCACTTGGGGATTGCAAAGGATCACAAGGGGTGGCTGCTATGGGACCTGACCACCCAGAAGCTGACAGTGTCAAGGGATGTGAAGTTTCTTGAGTCCCTGTACTATAAGGAATGGAAGCAGCAGCAACAGAAGCTTCCATCTACACCGCTCATTGTGGAGGCAGATGAGGTGCAGCAGCCTTCAAGACAGGTGGAGGTTGCAGTGGCAGAGGAGGAGATGTCTGGGGTGACTGAGGAAGGGGGAGCAGCTGAAGTAGAGCAGCAGCAGCAGCAGCAGCATGAGTCTCCACCTCGAGTTCCACACCCGCCTGAGCGTCCTAGGAGGGATGTGCGCCCTCCTGTGAGGCTGACCTATGGGGGAAGAGGCAAGCCGAATGTGGTGCAGGCTGGGAGTGTGGTTGAGCAGATTGAGGAAGATGAGATCGCTCACTGCTACTGGGCACCAATCCCTGAGTACATGGCCTTACACCATGGGGCCAAGGAAGTAGTGTGGCTAAGGCGTTTGTTGGAGGAGTTGGGAGTTGGTCAGGAGAAGCCGACAGTTGTGTTTTGTGACAATGAGTCCGCTGTGAAGCTCGCCAAGAATGCTTGTCTGCATGGGCTGACAAAACACATAAGGCCTAAGTGGCATTGGGTGAGGAGAATCCTTGATAAGGAGGTGCGGCTGGAGATAGTGAAGACCCATCAGCAGGCAGCAGATATTTTCACTAAGCGTCTGGCGGAGGCGGATCATTGGAAGGGCATGAAGCTTGCTGGGATGAGTGTGCATTGAGTATGCATGCTTGAGATGTGGTATGGTCGATGATGGTTGGCAGCCAGAGGGGGAGATTGTTGTGTGATGTCATCATATGCTATCACATTCTGTCTGCCTCCCATCCCATGTTTTCAACTTGCATGTGTGGTTTGAATGTGAAAGAATTTGTGTGTGGTGTGTTCTGGAGTTTGGGAATGTGTTCTGTGTTATTTTTGTTTGAGCAGGTATTTTGATGATAGATCTTGAGAAGATCTTTCCGACGCAACAAGAATCGCTTCAATCGGAGCAAGAACGCGAAAGCTATGAAGATTCAAAGTTCATGAGCTTGCGTTACAATTGCGGCGGTTACAAAGTGAAGTTGTGGGGTGACTTTATATGGAGTTGGGACCTTTGGGGTTGGGTAAACTTGTCACTCTACTGTAACAGCTGCAAATAGGTTGGGAACAACCAAGCTAGGTTGGCAAGGGTGGCCAACTTGGATGGATTGGTTGGGAAGGGACAAAGGTCAAAGTTGAGGTTCCTATAGGGAGGGAATCTTTGTGCTTATGGGGTTTCCTTGGTTGGGGACTCTCTTGGGACCTTTCCTCTCATCCCTCTCTTCTATCCCAACCTTTCTCTTGCTCCTCTAAATTCCTTGTGAGATTCTTGAACTTTGATTGAACTCTTGAGATTGAGTTAAGTTCTCCTCCTACAGCTTACCCCCTAGTGCGTCGAAAGCCATAGCGTCGCGAATACTTCATCAATCAACGTGATTCAAATTGGGAACGGTAGCTGAGATCAAGAGCTACAACATATCCAAGTTTCGCGACATTCCAACGGCTAGTGTTTTGTCGACGTCGTTTCTTGTGAAGACGACTTTTCTGTCCAGAATTTCGGATTTATATTTTGAGTAATTCTAGCTCCTAAGTTCACCTAGACTCTGTCCTTAATCCTAACACATTGCAGATGCCAGAGTTGACCACCACGTTGCATCTCCCTATCTTGAACAGCTTGATTAGCGATACCCGCTTGCTTGTCCTCCGCCCCAACAAAAGCGGTAACACCCTCAGCAGTATCTGCCGCTCCGTCATCTTTGGCAAACTTTTGCAAATGGGCTTGTGTTGGTGCTTGCAGTTGCTCGGGGGAAAGGGCAACGGAAGGATTGGATTGGATGAGGCCAATGTTTCCCAGCGTCACACCCGGCTCTTGCAAATGCTTGATTTGTCGAACAATGGGCGCCGATTCCTTCTCAGGGAGCACACTCATAGGGGGCATGTTACCATCAGCAAGCTTTAACACATCATTTCCAGGTCCAGCGCACACTGAAATCGACACAGCTGGCTCAGCCTTCTGAGAATCAGGTTCTTGTACGTGTGTCCCTTGACTTGATTTTGCTTGAGGTAGAGGCACCTTGAACTGCCTCCTTCTCTTGCTCTGCATACCTCCACTGCCGATGGTCTGCTGCGAGTCTAAATCTTGTGATACGGCCACCTGACTGACATTTTCTTCGAAAGTCCGGGCGCCCTGGGTTGGTGTAGCTTGAAGCGCAAGGGGAGTGGGAAGTCCTGAGCAGAGACGACCATCCAGTCCAGAAAATTCATCGAATGCATTTCCTTTAGCAGGGACAACTTGAAAGGAAAAGGTAATATTAGTCAAGGCACTGGAGGCAAGTGACACAATGAACGATAGAGTAATCTATTTACCTTGAAGAGCTAAATTTCCAAGCCCAAGTCCACTGCGGCGCAACACTTTATGCACACCATCAACCTGCAGCAAAACAATGAGTGAATACCGCGATGGCCCCCAACTCCTCTTTTACTACTACAAGTCTAACCTCCTGGAGCCCTTCAGTCGTTGTTACAGCATGGTACAGGGGCCCTGAAGAAAGGTAACTGATAAGGCACTGAACTTGCGCGTTGACACAGGACGCATGTGCCTGCACATAAAGTGCTTGCATGCGAGAAACCTGATAATGTTTCATGTTAGAAACTGATACCAAATGAATGAGATGCTCCACGTCCAACGTAATGAGAGAAACGTACAGATTAGAGAATAATTGTCACAACCCTCCTGGATCCTTGGCCAATTTACGTGCTTTGACGCCACCTGCATATTGCACAATCAAATGAAATGAAGTTGGCCGTAATCTACAAAGACGGCAGAGCAAAAGCCTTCCAAATATAAACCCCACTTCAGTTGTACCTCGCACAACGTCAACTGTTGCTGGGAAATCTCCAGCTCAAGAGGCTGCCAGAGGTCATCACAATTAGTGCCGATGGAAACATGAACTGCCACAGAGATGGACCATGTTAACTCAACGTTGTAAACGAAAATGGTGAAGAAATTGATGGATCGAAAGCCCACTTGTTAAGCCAATAGGAGAAGACTCGGAATGAATCATTTGTAATCTTGAGGCCTTTTCATTCTCAAAAAGTTCCAGTCTGTTTGAAGCACTGCATCGCCTTCGAGTATTGCCCAGTTGTTGCATTCCATTCGTCCTGTTCCACCTTCCACGTACAAATGGGAGGAAAAAGGTTAGAGTTCTGGAAGTAGACCAAAAGGCTTCAACAAATATACCAGTATTACTCCTACTTCATCTTCCCAATCATGCCATTCATCTCGCTGATAATTGCCTTTGCCTTGGAGTATTTAGAATCCACCTGCAGCAGCCACACAATGAGTCAATAAAGACACCGCCGTAGAAACCCCTGACCCAATTTTCAGAAATGGGCTTCCATCGCTTAACAGTCGCTTAATCTGAGTCCCCACCTCAGCAAGACGGCATTCTCGTTCAGAAATCTGTTGACGCAAGCTCTCCACGTGTTCCGTCAGCTCCCTGAATCGATTCTCATGCCCAATGCATGCCTGCTGGGCTTTACGATGCTCTGAGTTGACCAGGTTGAGCTCATTCTTGATTTCCTGCACGCAGAATAGGAAGCTAAGTCAACCAAGAAGCACAAGGGTTGGAACCGAAATCTGAATAATATAAGTGGGCAAGTCGCATGCAACTGATGAAAATAACCTTGACTTGCTGGTCTACAGTGGACGGAATGCCGTCGCATGAAGTGCTTGCATGAGAGAAGCCTGATATTGTTCCCAATATAAGAAAGTGATAAGAATTGATTGACAGGCCACACCTCCAGAGTAATAAGAGAAACTTACACAAAAGAGACTCAGTGTCACATCCCTCCTGCATCCATTGCCAATTCCCGTACTTTGAATCCACCTGCAAAATACACGTTTTGAGGTAACGAAGAGAACAACAACAAAAAAAAAGTGAAAAGAAGGCTTAAGTATGTGTTATGAGATCTCTATAACACAAGTCGGTTTTCAGGTGTACCTCGCACAGCGTCGACTGCAGCTGAGAAATCTCCAGCTGAAGAGGCTGCCAGAGGTCATCACAACCTGTGCTGATGGAGACTTGACCTGCCACAGACATGGCACTTGTTAAGCCAACATTGTATAAAGGAAATTGTGAGAAACTCGGGTTCTCACCCACCTGTTAAGCCACTAGGGGAAGTCCCATAGTTAATCATATGTATTCTTGACGCCTTTTCATTCTCAATAAGTTCCTGTCTCTGTTTGAGGCTTTGCATCTCCTTTGATTACTGCACAGGTGTTGCATTCCAACCGTCCTGTTCCATTTTCCGCTTAGACGTGGGAGAATCAAAGGTTAGACTTACAGTAGCCGAAAAGAAAGAAATCGTCAATAGTTCTGCTTACTTCCGCTCCATCTTCTCAACCACGTCATTCATCTTGGTGATAGTTGCCTTTGCCTTGGAACATTCAGAATCCATCTGCAGCAGCCACATGATCACGTGAACAGGGGATTCAGAGAAGCCATCGCCTTAAAAACCCCCAAACACAACTAACTAAAAAGAACCTTGAATGCCTTACAGTAGCTCCACCTCAGCAAGGCAGCCTTCTTGTTCAGAAATTTGTCGGCGCAAGTCCTCCACAAGCCTTATCAGCTCCTTGGATCGATTCTCATGCTCAATGCAAGCCTGTTGAGCTTTCAGATGCACTGAGTTGTCCAGGTCGAGCTCATCCTTGACTTTCTGCAAGCAAAACCGGAAGCTCGGTATACCAAGACGCACAAAGTTCGAAACCGAAATCCAACTAACATACTGGGCAAGTCGCAGGCAAGTAACAAAACCGACCTTGACTTGCTGGTCAAGAAAGCACGAAATGCCTTCACACGAAGTGCTTGCATGAGAGAATCCTGATATTGTCCTTCCATATTAGTAATGATACAGATAATCAACATGCCAGATCTCCAACGTAATTAAAGAAACATACACATAAGAGATCCAGTGTCACATCCCTTCTGAATCCTCGGCCAATTCACGTACTTTGATTCCATCTACAAAATGAACGTTGGGACGTAACGAAGCTGGTTACATAGCCAACGGAAAAATGGCAGAAAGAATCTTCATAAGCATGATTATGGCCTCCACGCTACAACACAGGCCCATTTCAGGTGTACCTCGTTCAGCCTTGATTGCAGCTGAGATATTTCCAGCTCAAGAGGCTGCCAGAGATCATCACAGCCTGTGACGATGGAAAATTCACCTGCCACCGAGATGTCCAATATTAATCGAATGCTGTATAAAAAAAAGGTGGAAACTTGTCCTTTAGCCCACCTGTTAAGCCACTAGAAGAAGTCCCAGAGTTATTCATTCGTAGTCTTGAAGCCTTCTCATTCTCAAAAAATTCCAGTCTCTGCTTAAAGCACTGCATCTCCTTTGAGTGCTGCGCAGTTGTTACATTCCAGCAGTCGTGTTCTTCTTTCCGCCTACAAATAGGAAAGGAAAGGTTATAACAAATCAATTCAACCGAAAATTCTTAACAGACACTCCAGACTTACTCCTGTTGCGTCTCCTCAATCACATCATTCATGTCGCTGACAGTGGCCTTTGTCTTGGAGCATTCAGAATCCATCTGGTCACATGACCACGTGAACAGATTTAAGTCAGAAAAAGGCACCACCTTAAAAACCCTGGACACGCTTTCCAATGAGCCTCGAATGCTTAACAGTAGTTTAATCTGAGTCCCCCAC